CTAGTTCTATAGTTGTCCAAGGTACTGATCTGAAAGAAATTGATTAAGAATGTGATATGTAGTTATGAGAATCTATCTCGAAAGAAACAAAATAACTAATAATAAGTCAATAATTAATCGTATCATCTTCATAAGAGTCTATTTCTTTTCTCTTCTACATCAATCTATTATAGAGCGTCTAGTGTAGACAAATTGAAATATAATTATTCTATAAGATAAGTGACTCATGAGCTCTGCAAAGAGGTTTACGTTACTGCAATCAGATTGCGGTGATTCTATATATATTTTTCATGATGATATATTAGTTTAAAATATCTTGACCAATTTATAAAGATATTCAGACTACCAAAACATCAAAAAAGAAAATATATTTATATCATGAATAACTGTTTGTGAAAATCTTAGAATACTCAAAGTCACCTCTTGCCCGAATGTTCATTTACCTCACAAATCAAGATAGAATAATTCTAATTTATCTCTATCACCTTTTCCTTTTTAAGAGGAAAAGTCTCTTAGCTATTTTCCCTTCTAAACAGAATCACATGTTGGTAGTACCTTTACTTTCAATGAACCGTTCTGCCCATTCATTAACCAACCTTAAAGTTTTATTCAAAATAAATAACTTAGATGTTAGCGTACAATAAGTTTTATTCAATTTAAAATATACTTTCTCTTATGAGATAGATTAATATAATTCAATTTATGTGAGATATTATTAATAAAAAAATCACGCATCTACGTACCATTAATGAAATATTCACCAAACTAAATGATAGGAAAGTTACAAACAAATATATTAAATATTCATCTCTTATCTAGTTAGAAACTGAAAATAATTCCTTCTAACACAAGGTATATGTACAATGCATTCTTTGAATTAATATTTTATCTCTATCAAAAGAAAAACTTAAGTAGTACTAAGTGGGTGCGTAAAGTCTATTGAGAATATGAGATATAATACATCAAATAGATTATAATATTTTGAATAATTCCGAATAACGAAATTTAGGGCTCATTTATACATATATATCCATCCATTTCGAATAGTCAATCGATGGTATTGGAGAACTACTCATGCCATACACATGTACAATGACCGATTATTCACTCCATGAACTTATACAAACCTAACTCAGATGGAGAGTCTACTATTAGTTTAAGTCAAGTGAAAATCCTCTAGTTAAATTGATCTGATCTTATATTACTCAGTTTAGGAGAGTTAATATAGATTATCAAAACTAGACGATTAAATACAAGTGACTTGTATCAATTTCATCCGATGGGGAGAAAAGTCTAAGCCAACACATAAAACTAATACTTCACTACTATTTAATCAAATATGACCAAAAACTCATATAACGATCCAAAAAAATAATAATTTCTTACTAGGTCGTTCTTATGATTCTACCAAATTTCAGATCAATAAGAGTTTTTCTTTTTCGAATTCTGAAACTATGATCAATTTGGTTGAAAACATCGTTTGGCCATAGTAGAATTTAAGATTTTTCTGCTCAGTTATTCTTATCATATATGATCATTTTGTGAAATAGATACACGAATCAAGAATAAAGAATGAAGTTTTAAAATTTCCAAAAGAAAACATGTTTATGTATATGGTGAATATTAAATTTCAAACACGCCTTATTGATATCAATGCATCTTAAAAAATAAATTTTGATGAAAAAATGACTACTCATGCAACATACATATATGGTGTCAGAAATTCACTTCAACAAATGTGGAACAAAAGCCAATTCAGATGGAGAGTATATTTTAATTTAAGCCAAGTGAATATCATTATCCTAGATCCATTGATCCAGTCAAATATTACTTAGTTTAGTAGAGTCAATACAGATAATCAAAACTAGAGATAAACTTTAATGATTTGTATTAATTTCATCTGTTATGGAGGAAGGTCCAAGCCAACTAATGAACTTAATACTTCACTAAAATTTAGTCATCAAAATCATAGAGAACAAACTCTATCACCACTATATCATAGTCTAGTAATTTTTTGGTAAAATTAATTTTTCAAGATACAAAAATGATCTAAAAACATCATCTGAACGATCTCAGTGCATAACAATGAGTATTTTAAATTTTATCATTATCGATGAACCTATCGAATTTCAGATCAATCAGAGTTCAAAATTAATATTTATCTCCAAAGCTATGATCAAATTCAGATTCAAGCGATTTGAGGAAAAATGAATAGATCTACATCCTTATCACATATCAATGTATGTTAACTCATTACATGTAATCATTTACCACATATAACATAAAACTCAATATAAAGGATGTCACTCATACGAAATCACATTTTCATCCTAAAGAACTTTAAAATCATTTTAATGACCTCAAAAAATATAACCACATAGTAATGAGTACTTTTTACTAGGTCGTCGTCAATGAACTTACCAAATTTCATGTCAATTGGAATCTATAAAAATTATTTATTTCAAATCTATGACGTAATTCAAATTCAAGTAATTTAAACATATTTAGGAATTAAAACAATATGACCTACATTATTATCACATATCAATTCATGTCAAATAACCATGTGCAATCATGTTCGAAATTTAACATAAACATAATTGACATAAAGAATGACTTTATCATATTCAAATCAAATTTTAATCTAACAAACTATCTAAACCTATCTAAATGATTTTCATTGGAACCATCAAATTTCAAGTCAATCAAAGATCATAAAATTCATGACCACCTAAACTGTGATCAAATTTGAAAATAATCGTTTTAGGCATTGTTAATGACTAAAATAACATGATTCAATTTTTTCGTTCTCTTTTAATAATTAACTCATGAGCGCAAGATATACGTCATGTTCTGTCTTTTGGAGAAGATACTAACTAACATCCTTACAACAAATTGTTCTCTTAATTAATACACTCGAGAATTCAAGATATTATATTTCTCTCTTTAAGACCTGTGAAAATCTTTTATATCTCTTCTCATGAATTAATTAGGCATTACTAGCATCTTAAGGTAAATCTCCATTCAAGTAAATAAATATTTACGACTAGTATTCACTTAGAACAATTTATACACCACACGCTGAAATATTCTAATGACTCAAATAAATAGATTACTTTCATAAATCCATTTATTAAATTCTCAATTCATAAACAAGTATAATTTCACATATATAAAGTTTTAAGAATTTTTCTTGATTCCGAATAAATACTTCATCTTGAAGGTAGCTATTAATCAATCATAAATTCTTAATTTACATGGACAAAATTCTAATAATGTTAACCTCATGTAATTAGTCAACAAAGAGAAAAATAATGCTAAAATTAATTTATGATTCTCGTAAAAGAAAATGTTGTACTGCTTAATGTTTATCCATAAACACAACAACACCTTTTGATATTAATTTCAATAATTTATCAATGTTTCTGCACCACAAGATTAGTACCCACTAATAATTGACCATATGTTAAAACAACTCAGTTTACTTTTATAACAATAGCGACGTTAAGGTGCAACAAATATAAATTTTAAAAAAATATCAATTAATTAAATTGCAACCGTCCACATGAGAATTTAATACTAAAAAAGTATACCACCCTTTGAACTTGATCAAGTAATTAATCAGAGAAGAAGTCAATATTTAATTTATTAAAGATGACATCTACCGCCGCCGCTAACCTAGTAAACCTTAATCTTTTTTTTTTGTTTGATTTTTTTTCGTCGTTAAATTACAACAACACATATTTTCAATCACAATAATGGGTAAATTCCATTCATGTAATAATCCAACACGCCGTCACCAAATGGATTCAGCTTATCCCAAACAATGAGATTGAATTCATCCATCAATGACGTGCTCCGTAGTCGAACTAGTAACAACAAACATTGAAGGTTTTCTAGATTTTCTTTTATGTCACATTGCAATACAATGGGTATCAACCCATCTTGCAACTTCTATGTCCATAAAAAATTCACAGCAAGCAAGGTATGAAGTTAATTCTTTAATAGCACTATCTATTTAGATGCAAGCATGACTCTTGATGCCAATTGTTATGTACACTGGAAATATATTAGTATCTTTACTGCTTACATAATTAATAGATAACCTATACAGTTTATGCTTGAACACGTAAACATCCTGAAATTTAATTCAATAATTACCTCTTGAAGCGAAAGCGAATACTTTGAAGCAAATTCGCAAGATAGACAGATCTTCAAGTGAATCTACAAGATAGGTATGATCTTCTATAGTGATCCCAAGTCACATACGAACTCTCTCAATACTTAGGTGGGCAAGTATCGGATAGAAAATTAATTCTTTTTTCTTTCTAGGTTAGGAGAATCCCTATACATAGAGATTTCTTCCTAATCAAAAAAGGACTAGAGAACCTAGTTTTTCTAGAAGACTAGAAAAACTCATATTATTCTTCCTTCGGAAAAGGGCCTAAAATACCCTCGAAGTATTGAAAATGGTACAAAATTACCGCCATCCACCTATTAGCCCCCAAATACCCTTCACATCCACCTTTGGGTCCAAATTTACCCCTTCATTAACGGACCAAAATTAAAAAAAATTAAATTATAATTTTTAATTATGTGGCACTCAACCATTGGTTGTAATTTAATTATTTAAAATAATTTAAAACCCACCCATTATCCATCCATTTTAACTAAACCCTCCCCACTTGACCCAATTTTAAAAAAAACCCATCTAATTAAAAAACCCTAAAACCTTATTCCTCCAATTTTCACAACTTCCACGCTACTCCATTGTCTTCTTCTTCTTCTTCATCTTGCAACTTGAAGAAAATTCATTCACAATCTCGACTTGAACTCAAGTAAGAACTTTTGTGCACTTCGAAATTTCAGTTAGAATTTAGGTTTTAATCGATGTTACTTGTTTTGAGAATCAATTTCTATTTATGTTAATTTTTCGTGTATTCTGTGCTTTTTTGACAATTACTTATGGTGATACTACAATTTTGTTTAGTGTTGTCTATTTATGTTAGTGTTATGTGTTACTATGTTGATTTTGAATAGGATTTTTTTATTGTTGTCTCAAGTTTGTTCTTTTCTGCCTTTACTCGTCGTTTCTCCCTTTATTTCATAATACTTTTCAATTTGTGTTAGTCAGATATGCCTTTAATATTGTTAGGTATGAAATATTTTATTGTATGGTCCATTTTTTTAGATTTTAGGTATTATATTATATATTTTTGCGTATGTAAAGTTTTACTTTGAAGCATGTGGTCCCTATTCCTTTACTCTTGGTAGATTCCTCTGTTTTTTTAAAATGTTTTGTTGTTGTCTAATATGGTCCTGTTCTTTTTTTTTTGTCTATAATGTCCTTTTGTTGAAGAATGGTTGACAAGGTGGACCTATTATTCTATTATGGGGGCAAGTGGGTACTGACACCTAATGTTATTTACATTAAAAAATTCACTCATGTTTGGAAGGAGTATGATCCAGATTTATTGTCATATATAGACATATGTGAAGAGTTCCATGAAAAGTTAGGATTTAGTAAGGTCCAACAACTTCTACTCAAAGGACCTTCTCGGAGGTATTATTTGATTGAGGGGGATTCTGGCATAAGAACAATACAGACAACAATGTATATTAAGTCTGGTGTACTTGAATTGTTTGCTGTAGATGAGGGGGATGATGTTCTTCCAGCTATTGACATCAGCCACAATGATGAACCATACGTAGTCACAGTAGATGTTGCTACTGAAGGTTAATCAAGTGAGGAAGAAGATGATGAAAATGAACCTAATCTAGTCACAGTGAATGAACCTAATCTAGTCACAGTGAATGCTGGAATAGATGTTGCAACTGAAGGTGAATCAAGTGAGGAAGAAAATGATGAAAATGAGCCTTATCCAAGTGACTACAATAGTGAAGAATTGGAATCTTTTAGTTTGGAAAAGAAAAGAGAAATCAATGATCAACTTGAAAACTTTAAATAGTTGGAAAAAGGTATGAGTTTTAAGAACCTTGATGAAGCTAAAAGGGTTGTAAGTTACTACTCAATTGCTAGGAAGGTTGCCCTTAGAGTTGATAAGAGTGACTCTGTTAGAGTTAGATATAAATGTATTGTTGGTTGTCCTTTTGTGTGTCTTATTTCTGAAGTTAAGAAAGGGAAAGGATTTGAAATTAAGACTTTGCAAACAAAACATACATGTCCAGAAGCATTCAAGAATAGAAGAGCTACTCAACAAGCTCTAGCACACTACTTTAAGAATAGGGTCCAAAATGATCCTAACTGCAAAGTGACTGAAATGAGAAAGATTGTAGATGATAACTTAAGCTTAATATTAGTTATTCAAAAATGAAGATGGTTAAAAGACTTGTACTGGAAAAACTAGTTGGTAGCTATGTTGATGATTTCAATAAATTAGAGGGTTATGCTCAAGAGTTAAGGGACAATAATCTTGGTACTGATGTAATTATAAACATATCCAAAGAGGCTTTGTTGGAACATGGACAAAGAAAATTTTTGAGAATGTATATTGGTATTCAGGCTTTGAAAAGTGGTTGGAGAGCTGGTTTGAGACCATTTATAGGGTTAGATGACACCTTTTTAAGAGGCAAGTTCAAGGGAATTTTATTGGTCACATTTGGTCAAGATTCAATTAAGCATTTCTATCCACTTGCTTGGGCAGTAGTGGATAGAGAAACTATTAGAACATGGAAATGGTTCATTGAGTTGCTGAGGAACTCATTGGGGTTGGCAGATGAAGGATTGACATTAATGTCTGATATGCAAAAGGTAATTTTGCAAGTGTTTGACAGTTTTTTTATTTATAGTTATTGTATACACTTGAAATTTTTTAAGCTATTCTATTCTATTTTTTTTCTTATTGTTACAGGGCTTGATTGGTGCTGTTAGTGCTTTGCTTCCAAAAGCACAACATAGATGGTGTGCAAAACACATAGAAGCCAATTGGTCTAAGTCTTGGAGTGGTGTACAGATGAAGAAGATGTTTTGGTGGTCTGCTTGGAGTACATATGGAGAGAAATTTGAAGACCAATTAAAGTCCATGGGTTCTGTGTCTAAAAAAGCAATCGAAGGTCTTCTATGGTATCCACCACAACATTGGTGCAGGCCTTTTTTTGACACTGTCTGCAAAAACTACTCCTGTGATAATAATTTTACTGAGTCTTTCAACAAATGGATTTTGGAAGCAAGGGCAAAACCAATAATCAAGATGCTGGAAGACATTAGAATTAAGGTATTGCCGCTATTTTATATAACTATATGATAACATCTATTAATGTTTAATATGATAGTAATATGTAGGTGTACATGTATATATTATATATGTCATGTACATGTTATATATTTCATTGTTATCGATAGGTTATGAAAATGTTGAAAAAACTTGAAGAAGAGGGTAAGAAGTGGACAGAAGAGTATAGTCCATATTCTATGGATTTGTATCATGATTTCAGAATGATTGCTCAAGGTTGTCAAGTTGTTACTAATGGAGACTTAGGATATGAGGTGGTTGAGGGTATAGATAGACATGTTGTGAATCTTGCTAGAAAGAAGTGTACTTGTAGGACATGGGATTTGACAGGAATACGATGTCCTCATGCTATTAAAGCATTAGAACATGATAAAATAGAGCCACTGAATGAGATGCATTGGTGGTATTCTAAAGAAGCTTACTTGCTTGTATACCAACCTAAAATTCAACCTGTTAGAGGTGAGAAATTCTGGAAGATTGATCTTTCTCAAGCTATGCAACCACCACAAATTCATTAATTGGTTGGTAGACAAAAATTAAAGAGAGTAAGGGAAAAAGATGAGGCAAGAAAAAGGGAAGGATTATGGTCGAAAAGTAGAAAATGATTGCAAATAACATGTGGAAATTGCAGTGCTGTAGGTCATAATCGAAGAAGATGTCCCCTAGTAAGTCATGTTTTATCAATTTTCAATTACTTCCAATGAATAATTATTTATCTTACACTTTGACAAATTTTAGAGCTTCAAGAAGGAAGACAAGTTCTCCCAGATGAACCAATCTTGATGCCAACTCTTGAATTTGTTGCATCTTCTAGTTGACAAACTAGCCATCAATCAAGTGAAGAATTCAATGAAGCTGCTGGTCCTTCAAAATCAAAGAGAAAAAATGTTTCAAAGGACAAAGTTGATGCACTACCAAAGAGGTCTAAAAACGATGGAAAAGAAAAAGTTGTTGCACCATTGATTGCAATTGTTGATCAGGATGAAGTTGAAGACGGTATTGAATCTGAGGATGAGGATACAGTCCTTGCACCTAGAGTGATATCTTAAGAAAAAACTAGACTTCAAATGAAGAAGATGCTACAACAACCAATTTGTTCAAGAATGATTAGTTTTAAGGGTGATGAAAATGATGTTGTTGTCCCTACTAATTTACCATACTCACCAAAAAAGCTAACTTGGAAAGGCAAAGCATGTGTTACCTCAAGTCAGTTGAAAAAAGATGAGGAAAAAAAGATTGGCAAGCTTAAGACAAAGAGGGGCAAGCATTAGAAAGTAGTTGCTTATTATTGATTTAAAGTTTTTGTTTAGTATGTAATGGCACAATGGAACTTCTTAAACTGCTATTTTTGGAGGGGCAAGCATTACAAATTAGATTGATAATGTTTTGTGGGCCGAAAATATTTTGTGACTTGAAAATTTTATGAATGCATTCTATTATTTGGTGGTTTTGTGGAACTGTTGAAACTTTGTGGTTGTGGAAGTGTTGCAGTTTCGTGGTCTGTGGAATTGATGATCAGACCATAGTATTTTTTTAGAGATTCTTCACTCGATTGTTTTCTTTTCTGGTCCAGCATTTGAGCTAGAAAATGTATTGAAATAATGAGTTAGTTGTATGGAGGTTGGGAAAAGGCAGAGTTGTTTAGTGTACATTAAAATATGATTAAATGCAAAGGACAGTGACTGGAAAGGAAGCACCATTACTCTTTTTTTGGCTTCTTCAATACTTGAGTTGTTAGTGTTCCTAACATCCATAACTATACGTTCAGTCAGTGGAGCTGAAGATGTGGAGGTTTTTAAGCAAGAAATATAGAAAAGTACCACCTACGAAGATTGTGACGGTTCGTCGTGTTCGTGACGGTCCGTAGGTGGCATCGTAGTGCAGCTGCTGAAGGAAGATGGAAAATTCTTGTGTGGGATTACAGAGTGCATGACAGACCATCGTTTCCATGACGGTCCGTCCTGCTGGTTCGTCATGAAGATCAGAGAAGTAGTCCAGTACCCAAATTCCAAGAGTTCAAGTGTTTTGGAACGGAGACCCTCGACGGACCGTTGTGCTTGTGACGATCCGTCATACCCGCCATCGAGGGTAATAAAGAGAGGAGCAGAAGAAATTTTCCGTGTGTGACGGACCGTCGTAGCCATGACGGTTCGTCCTGCTGGTTTGTCATGAAGATCAGAGAAGTAGTCCAGTACTCGAATTCCAAGAGTTCAAGTATTTTGGAACGGAGACCCTCGACGGACCGTTGTGCCTGTGACGATCCGTCATACCTACCGTCGAGGGTAATAAGGAGAGGAGCAGAAGAAATTGCACAAGTATGGGACGACGGAATCCATGACGGTCCGTCGTGACCACGATGATCCATCGCGTGGTCTGTCGACCCAGTCGCGTTTTGACATATTTCCAGCAAATAGAGTCCTTATTTAATTAGGTATCATTAGGCTGTGTCATTAACCCTGAAATAGATGGTAGTGATAGTCAACAAATGTTTTATGTCGCTAAGTTTGAGCTGTTGATTGCTCCATTACTCTTGGTGTTGATTATGTGCTTCTACCATCATAAAAAGAGTGTAAACCAATCTGTGATTTCTCACAGTTTTCGTGTGGGGATTGAAAGCAAAAAATTAGAGCAAGGCAAAACAATTTAGCCTCTGATTCGCACAACCCATAAGAGGGAAAATCATTCCTAAATCTCTCTCATATTTACAGAAGAAAACACATTGGAAGTATTAACTAGTAGGTTTTCTTGTAGTCTTTTTTATCTTCCTCTGGTTTGGGTTATCAGCAGCTTATAGTGAAAGTCACAAGTTTATAGTGAAATTCATATCTTTCACCTTTGAACAGAGGAATCAACAATCACTGAATTACTGCCAAATTGATGAGAAATTAACAATGAAGTAGTAGACATAACAATCAAAACAAATGTAGCTTTGCCAGAAAATGCACACACCAATGTATCATTAGTAATAACAATATTGCATAATTCTTCATTAGTAGACACAACAACAACCAACATCATCTTCACAAATAATCAAAATAAAATGCAGCTCACTAACTTAATACAAACAATTGCACTACACTAAATCATCTTGGCAGCTGCAAAACCAAGAATAACAGCCCAAGAAACTGCAAACAAACTTATCAATTTATGAACTTTCAACTCTAACTTCGAAACTTTTTCATCCAAGCTAGATACTTTCTTCATTTTTGAACTCTCAATTTTATCCATCAACTCCAAATTTGACATTTTCCCCTTCAAGGCAGAAACTTTCGTCAAATCAGAAATTTCATTTCCATTCATATCATTCAACTCAGACATTTCATCGGCAGTCATATCCTTCAAAAAAGAATCTCCAATGCCACCCATATCCTCCACAATCTTCTTCAAATGATTTTTTCTTTCCGAATTGAATCCAATTCAACTTTTTGATTATGAATCATGGTTGACACATGACGTGGAAGTTTGTCATCAATCCAATTCCAATAACCACAAGAATTTGACCCAACACGACCACATCTGTAGAATCGACGCCCACCATTTTCAAGAGTTGTAGCAGTATAGTATCTTGCCAAAAATCCACACTTACATGTACGAGATTGAAGTTCTTTAGGGGAAGAAATCGAAGAAGAAGCTGACATTTTCTTCATGAAGAAAACGAAGAAGACAATGGAGTAGCGTGGAAGTTGTGAAATTGGAGAAATAAGGTTTTCGGGTTTTTTAATTAGATGGATTTTTTTAAATTGGGTCAAGTGGGGCGGGTTTAGTTAAAATGAGTGGGTAATGGGTGGGTTTTAAATTCTTTTAAGTAATTAAATTACAACCAATGGTTGAGTGCCACGTAATTAAAAATTATAATTTAATTATTTTTAATTTTGGTCCGTTAATGAAGGGGTAAATTTGGACCCAAAGGTGGATGTGAAGGGTATTTGGGGGCTAATAGGTGGATGGGGGTAATTGTTAACCATTTTCAATACTTCGAGGGTATTTTAGGCCCTTTTCCGTTCGTCTTTTTTTGCATAGAAATATAATTCTGAGTTCTAGTTAAATATGGACACTATAGGGACCACATAATTAATTATCGAGGCATCCTATTATGAAAATAATTTCAAATAATTAATTCTTACCATAATAAATTATAAATCATTTCACTAGAAATTCGTAATTGCACTCCTCTATTTCGTAATTCCCCATTAAACTTTTATGTAATTCACCATGTTAAGATTTCAGGTACTAATCAATAAATTAAATTACTGAAGAATTCAACTTAATGATTAAATTTTCTGTAGAGCACTACTTAACTTATTTCATGTGTCGGGTTCATAAATATACTTACAAAATTTCACACGATGAAACTTATAAGTTTCTCAAAAAGGCGTATCAATCAATCTCTATCACGAGACATGGATTCCATCAACTAACTTATTATTTCACCAATATATATTGTTATCATCCAACTTATCAAGCATATTGACCTATCTCAGAATTTCACCTTTTAATAAATCAAAACGATAATTAATATATATAGATCATAATAGTTATATCAGGATTAAGAATATAAGTACATTTAATAGTTTTGAGAATATATTTTTGTCTTTCAGTCTAAAACAACTATCTCTACTTGGTCCCGTTCAATACATACAAAATGTACTAGCACAAGAAGTTAGAACTATATCGTTCCCATAATCAGGACAAATTATATATAATCTTGTGCTACAATCGTACCCGATGGCATGTCCAGTTTTAATCCTAGATTATTAATAAAAAACTTTATACTTATAAGAACCGATGATTTAATTTTCTGTGTATAAGGTAAAACTCTACACACCAAATCATCTACTATATAAGTAAATATACACCATAAATGAATATATGATCTATTAAAATTGAGCAAATATTTATTCTCTAATAAATATTATTTCTTAAAATATGGTTAATAGTATACATCCCAACATTGGCTTATTTGCATCTTTAGCAAAGAGCCGCATACTAATTTCCTTATTGATTGAGACTCTTTTTTTATCATCATGCTGATTTGAAGCTTCGTGCAATTGTCACCATGAGACATATCTTTCATCATATCGAGCGTGAGAGCATATGCCATAATTTTGACCATGCCTATTTGAAGCTTCGTGCAATTGGCACTGTGAGATACACTAGAGCATATGTCATAATTCTCACTATGTCGATTTGATGGTTTGTGCAATTGGCACCATGAGACACATCATTTTTTTTACCAAATTTACGATGGATAAAAAAAACCTCAATATCATACCATATAAAATGAGGGGTAATTCATAATTGATGAGGAACCACTTTATGCATCTTCATTTGTAATTTCAACTTTGATGACGAATCACACTCTGCGCCTTTTTTTTTACAATTGTGACTTTAGCGACGAACCACTTTTCGTGCATCTTCTTCTACAAATGAGGCTTTGATGATGAATCATATGTGGATTATCTTCTTTTAGAGTTGTGGCTTTGATGACGAACCAAACATGAACATCCTTGTTTTTTTTGCAATTGTGGCTTTGACTACGAACCACATTTGATATCTCTTCTTTCGTAGTTTCAACTTTAATTATGAACCACATTTGATGCTTTTTCTTTTGCAACTACGACTTTAGCAATGAACCACACATAGTACATCTTATTCTACAATTTCTCCGTGGCTCATCTTCTTTTAGAGTTGTGCCTTTGATGAAGAACCACACATGAAATATCTTTCTTAATTTTTATTTTGAAATTGCGACTTCGACGACGAACCACACTTGACATCTCTTCTTTTATAGTTTCAACTTTGATGACAAACCACACTTGGTGCCTCTTGTTTTGTAGTTTCACGTTTAATGATGAACCACCCTTGGTGCCTCTTTTTTGAAGGATCAAGTAGAGAATTTCTTCAAGTTGTACACAGAGTATGATACTTTAAGATCATCAAAGATGACTAAGAATCACATGAAAAAGCCCCCTTTGACGAGCAAAGCTGGCACATGAAAAGTTAGATGGATCCATGGAGAAACTTCAAGCAACTCTAGCAGATGTGGAGAAAGACTTAAAAGTTTTGACTTCCAAGAAAAAAAGGTCACCACACTTATTAACCAATATTAAGAGAAGTTGTTCAAAAGTCAAGAGAATGTCACCATTACAAAGGCGAGATTACACAATTGAGGAAAATAATGTGATGTCTAACAATGAAGTTGAGAGACTATCAAGCTAAACGAGGTGATCAATAAAAGTCCCCAAGAAATCATAAGCTTCAAACTTTTTCCGTAGTTAGATTTCTTTTATTTGCTTAGAATTTTCTGATTCACTCATTAGGGTGTAGTGGTCTTTTTTTAAGCAATAAATAGTGACTTATATTTCAATAATAATTTTTTCCTTTTGAATTTCGA